TGTTGCAAAGACTAAATGAGATGCCTACCAAGTGCCTGGCGCAATGTCTAACACATAGCACGAAGTAAGTTGTTTTGTGTCAATCCTTCACTATATAATATAATCTTTTATTGTCTTTATATTTATTTTATGTATGAGTATTTTGCCTGCATGTAAATGCGGTATGCATGTGCAATGCATGTGGAGGCCAAAAGAGTTACAGACAGTTGTTAGGGGCCATGTGGGTGCTGGAAACCAAGCCCAGGTCCTCTGCAAGAGAGCCAGTGCTTTTAACCACTGAGCCATCTCTCCAGCCCTCATGCCCAGCTTTTACATGGTAGCTAGGGATCCAAACTCAGGTCTTCATGCTTGCAGACCAAGAACTTTATCCACTAGTCCACCTTTCTAGCCCATTTACAAAATAATATTTAATCCTACCATGTGGAAAGGATCGTTCTAGGTTTTAGGGATACGTCAGCGAACAAAACAGACAAAAAATATCATCGTGTAGTGTAAACCCTAATGAGACTTTTGCCAATTATTTAAGATAGTTAATGAAAATGATATGCAAATCTTAGTATGGTACTACCACCCACTATATTTTCAACAAATGGCAATTGTTTATTAATGGGGAAAGATCTTGTAAACAGAAAAACCCTGCATTATGTTAAGCTGTGAGCTCATGGAGAACAGCCTCTGATTCACATCTGTGTCATCAGGACCTAATGCAGGACTCGGTGCAGGGTAGGGCTCATAGGGCAAATATTTCATCAATGTGTTCAAAAGTCAAAGGTCAGCACTGCTCTCCCTCTGCTTTCAGGCACTCTTTAGCGCCAACAGCTCATCGATAACTGCACACTCCAAATCAGCCTTCCGCCCTTCATTTGCATATTTCACATTGCCGGTGTTGAAAGGTAACTTTCTCAACACATCCCATGTTGTGACACCTGAAATGTGGTTGGTGTGTGGTGAATCTGTGCTGAACTGATGAGTGAGCACTTTAAAGACTAGAAAGATGTGCAAGAAGCTAGGCATTATGGTGCACATCTGTAATCCCAGCACTAAGAAGGGCACCGGAGAATTGGGAATTCCAGGCCAGCAGCGGCTACATAGATACCAAGACCTTGCCAGAGAGAAAGAGACAGAGAGACAGAGAAAGTCAGAGGGAGACAGAGGAGGGGGGAGGTAGGAGCGGGAAAGGGAGAGGGAGAAAGGTAATGCAGGAAATCGCATTGGGATGGGGTCAGTTCTAACTCTTGCCAATTGCATATAATGTTTGGCTTTAGGTTTTCAGATTCTCAGGTTCATCTATAAAATGGGACTCTTACTCCCTACCCTATCCCAAGACTTGGAGAAGACAGACCAACGTTAATACCTAAGGTTTTTGTTTATTTGTTTGCTTTTGAGACAAGGTCTCAAATTTGTCATGTAATAGAGGATGACTTGAATTCCTGATTCTCTTTCCTCCCAAGTGCATCCCCCAATGCTGAGATTGCAGGCAGATAGCAGTACTCCTGGCTCAAGAATACTATTTTGGTTCAGGTAATTTATAGAAATTATAGGTTGTCCCAGGTGTGTTGATGCACACCTTTAATCCCAGCACTCAGGAGGCAGAGGTAGGCTGATCTCTGTGAGTTTTAGGGCAGTCTGGTCTACATAGAAAGTTTCAGGCTAGCTGGGGCTGCATGGTAAGACCCTGTCTCAAAAAGAAAGAAGAAAGAAAGAAAGAAAGAAAGAAAGAAAGAAAGAAAGAAAGAAAGAGCGAGTTCCAGGCCAGCTGGAGATACAGGGAGACCCTAGAAAGAAAGAAAGAAAGAAAGAAAGAAAAAGAAAGAAAGAAAGAGAGAAAGGGAGAGAGAAAGAGGAAGGAAGGAGGAAGGAAGGAAGGAAAGAAAGAAAGAAAGAAAGAAAGAAAGAAAGAACGAAAGGAGAAAGAGGAAGGAGGGAAGAAAGGGGAGAGAGAGAGAGAGGTTCTCTGAGGATCAACAACATTAATATTATTTGAGATCTTGGCAGAAACAGAGATTCATGCCACCACCCAGCCTTAAACCATGATCTTCATTCTTAACAAGATCCCTGGGTGAGCGGATACACACACACACACACACCACACCACACACCACACACACCACAATTTGAAAAGCACTGTTCTAAGTCAGACTCATTAGACAAATGCACTGAAAAAATTTTGAAAATCATCTTCAACTTCATTTACAGCATACCAGGCTCAGCAAATGGAAGGGATTTGTGTTTCTATATGACTGAGCAAATGATGTCATCTCCATGTGGAAAGCAATGGTTTCCTTAAAAGAGCCTCCAAAGCCTTCCCATCGGACCCCTAGGGACCACACCACTGGTCACTTCCGTACCCACACAAGATAAACCAGTCATCAACCCTGTTCTCTGAACTCAGGCATTCTTCCTGGACTGCCCCTCCTACATTCCTCCAGTCTTCGCTCAAGCTGGGACATCCTTGACTTCACTCCTTGTGTAGATCGTCTAATATTGACTGGTTGACCCTTGGGCTAGACAGCTGAGCTCTCCTGCTCTTAGAGGCCTGTGGGTATTTTCCTGTGTTTTATCACAGCACCTATTTTACCAGACGATGGACTCTTAAGGATAGGAACCAGGTCTGATTTACTTATTTGACCACTAGGTCCCAACATGTCACCAGGTACTGTATAAGTGTCCAATTTATTTCTTGTGGCTAATGATTTCCCAAACATTTTTCAGGTATAATGCATAACTTTGCATTTTTAGACTAGAAATCTCTGGGAGTCAGGACCTGCTAGTCTCTTCCTTTTTCATCTCACTTGTGACACTCCATGTGCCTGCGCACAACAGACACTGTTCACTAACCATGCTGACAGGTACAACTGGTGGTTGTAGCCATGCCCCACATTGTGTATGTGGATCCAGAGATCAGGGAAGTTCAAATGACTCAGTGGGATGCAAATCCAAGGGTGGGGAAAGAACGAGGTTTCATAATAAATTATCTCAAGTCTAGGCTGAGATTTAGTGCCTTCTAAGAAGCTCACAAGGTGCTCACTTCAGCAGCACATGAACTAAGATAGGAGTGACACAGAGAAGATTAGCATGGATGGCCTCTGTGTCAAGACGACACTCAAATTCATTCCATTTTTAAATTATTTTTATTTTTTGTGTGTGAGTGTATTGCCTCATATGTGTGAGTATACCTGTGTTGTGCAGTGCCTGAAGAGGTCAGAAGAGGGTGTTGGATCCCTTGGAACTGGAGTTATGGACAGTTGTTAGCTGT